AGTATGTAGAAGGAAAGAGCCAGGCAACAGTGAGAAGGGAACCCACTTTATGAAGCACACTGGAGAACAATAGAATGTGTAGAAGTTGCTTCTGTATGAGCAAGAAAATAGTTATGAAAACACCAATTATTAGGAAAGTTGTGTAAGGAATTCATAAACAAGAATGTGTTTTGAACCTGTGATCACTGGCAGCTGGATATTTGTTACCTAATTTCATTAATCTAAGAATTAATTGATGATTCTAAAATAGCTACTCTAGCCCCCTCTCATTTCAATGGAGATGATAGATACCTATTAGAGGTTCAACTTCATTTAGTACAGGACATCATGAACATCTTACAGATCCTGTTTACAACATGCCAGGGGAGCATTATTATGGATGTAGATCAGGTTTCAAAGTGATTCACATCAAAAGGAATCATTCTAGTGACACACATGATAGTAATCAGGGAAGCAAAGTATTATGGTGCTTCACAGAATCAAGGTATATTTGGAGTTGGAAGGGACCCACAAGGACCATCAAGTCCTTCTGTTGGCATTGCACTGAACATCTCCAAGAATCACATCATGTGCATGAGCTCTGTCAGGCTTGGTGCTGTGACCACTTTCCTGTGGAGCAGCTCCAGTGCCCAGTCACCCCTGTTCTTATATCTAATCTGAACCTCCCCTGACACAACTTCAGTCTATTCCCTTGGGTCGTGTCACTGGTTGCCAGAGAGATGAGATCAGTGCTTGCCCCTACACATCCCCATGTGATGAGGTCTTCCCTCATTCTCCTCTTCTCCAGGCTGAACAGACCAAGTGACCTCCTTGTATGGCTTCCCCTCAAGACCCTTCACCATCTTCATTGCCCGCCTTTGGATACTCTCTAATAGCTTCATATCTTTCTTATATTGTGGTGCCCAAAACTGCACACAGTATTCAAGGTGAGGCTGCACCAGTGTACAGTTGAGCAGGAGAATCACCTCCCTCAACTGGCTGGTGATGCTTTGCCTGATCCACCCCAGTGCATGGTTGGCCCTCCTGACTGCCAGGGTACACTGCTGACTCATATTCAACTTGCCATCGACGAGGACACCCAGGTCCCATACCACAGCACTACTTTCTAGCCGCTCATTCCCCTGTCTGTATGTACCTCCAGGGTTGCCCCATCCCAGGTGCAGAGTCTGGCTCTTGCCCTTGTTAAACTGTTAGGTTGGTGATTGCCCAGCCCTCTAATTTATCAAGGTCTCTGTGCAGGGCTTCTCTGCCTTCGAAGGAGTCAAGAGCTCCTCCCAGTTTTGTATTGTCTGCAAACATGGTTAGTATCTCTTCAAGTCCATCATACAAGTCATTTATAAAGATATTGAAGAGCATTGGGCCCAAGATGGAGCCCTGTGGAATCCCACTAGTGACTGGTTGCCAGCCTGATGCATTCCCATCCCTTTGTGCCTGACTGGTGAGCCAATTGCTCCCCCGTCATGTGATACCTTTATCCAAATGTATGCTGGACACTTTGACCAGAAGGATACTATGAGAGACTGCGTCGAAAGCTTTACTGAAATCCAAGAAGATTACATCAGCTGGCTTCCCTTGATCAGCTAGGTGGGTTACCTTGTCATAGATACATCTGCTTATTGAAAAAACCTCTCAATGAACAAAGACAATTAGAAAAAAAGCAGGATGTTAGGCTGCATTGAGATAAAGAAAGACAATAATCCTGAAAATATGATAATGTTATTATGTAAAACAGTGATGCATCTTCACTGTGACCATGGCATTTAGTTCTGATCAGAAAATCTTGAAGATATTAGTGTGGAAATTGAAATGGTTGGGAGATGGGAAGTAAAAATCATAAAAGGCAAAGAAAAACTTGTTTATGAACAGAGATAAAAAGAACACAGACTACAACAGGAGTGCAAACAGCTTCCTTCTTTAGAAAGCCATTGCAATTTCCAGGAGAATTCTTGGGGTGTGCATAGACACTGCTGCTTAGATTAGCAAAATCTGCAAAACAGTAAAAACACTGAAGTGTAACTTGAAGAGAAACAGTGCTCAGTGTAACTTGAAGAGGAACAATCCCTACTGTGGGTAGCTTAAAGAAAATACATCAGAAACATCTATTTATACTTAAAGACAAGTGGAATAGGACTACAAGAGATAGCTTGTGTACATGAAAAAGCAACCTATTTACAGCACAGAAAAAGGAGCACTGCTTTACACTACACGTAAGTAATCTATGAATTCATTTCCATGAGGAGACATTGAAGTTTTAGTCTGTCAAGTTTGAAAAAGTTGTATGAATAAATAACGCATGTAGTCTACCTAAGTAAAGCTGACTAAAACCAATATGAGACATTTAAGTCTTCAGGCAAAAAGTAAGCACTAGCATGCATTACTTAGCAACTGGAACTGTCTACAAAGGTTCAATTATTGTGACTCAGAAAAAGCAGCAGCTTACTATCATTGCCTGCAATCACCTCTTTTTCTTCTGCAGTACTTAGTTTCCAAGGAAGTGACAAGTTGAAAGCTAAACTAGGTTCATCTATAACTGGAACAATTTTACTACATTATTTATTTCCTGCATTTATTTCTCCATGACATTCTAAAAACTTTTCCCAAACTCGTGTTGTGCTCTTTCCCCCTTCTGAAGCTTCTTTCATCAAATTACAAGACACCAAATGCTGC